ATTATTTTGCATAAAATATAAAATACTATTATTTCATAAATTTAAAAATAGAATTTCTATAAGGTAATTCGCCCTTCGCACTCTCTCTCAATCGGTCTCAATCGCTCTCTACCTTTTCCACGACAAAAACCCTGCACATCTTCGGATATTACGGATGTTATGAAGCTATTTCTATTATAAACCTATTAATAAATACAATGAAAAAATAACGGATAGGATCTTCAATGTGTTATAGTATTGTATTAAAACTTAAAGCAGAGCAAAGAAAATATTTACATTACTCGGCGTTTCAAGTGCTTTTTAGCTATTTATTTATAGTTTCTCCTTATCGCTGGTATAAGCAAAAAAAATTGTGTTGTAACGGTTTTTATGTTTTAAGTAAAATATTTTTATTTATGTATTTAGGATAAAACAAGGCTCAATGCAAATCTTCAGCTGTCGTCAAAGCCTATTGACGACAGCTGAAGATTTGCCTTGAGCGCGAGATCCGTCACTGTTCTCGCTTATCGTAATTAATTATTTGATTCTGTGGTATAATTTTGTTAAAATTTAAAGACGTGTTCACGTCAAAATATTTTATCGGATTGTTAATTGAAATTTGAATAACATTTCCTTCTTTTGAAAATTAGGTTGTAATTTTGTACAATTGAATAATTAAGCAGACATCACGGTTTTGTTTCGTTAAGATAATGAGATGTACAAAATTGCTGTGTCTTGTTCCAGAGTGCATTGTTTCTTTCATGTGTAAAATGTATACAGAGTAATGCTTTATAGAGATTTTTGTATAATAATGAATGACATCACAATCACATTTTATAGAATTCAGCAGATTACACGTACCTAAACAAATAAATATTTTATTAATTGTATTAGGATTATTTTGCACGGGGGTTTAATATGGATTATGTGTCCGATATAGTCAACATCAACATATGTTTATATATTTTATATTGAATTATTGGAATTTGTAATTATTTGTGCCATAATATTGGCTTGATTTGGTATTATGATTGTGTAAGTTTTTTATACATAAATAAGTTACACAAAAACTATATAATCGATAATGTACTTTCATACAATGTATGTATTTCTTATTTATTTACCTTAAAATATGCTTTATTATAGTTTTTTTTAAATAATTATATGAAAAAATTCTGCTTTACAAAGATTATGTTCATGGATAAAATGTTCATATTAGCTACTAATTTTTACTGTTGTTATTAAAAATGGATGTAAACTAATGTCTCTGTTTTAGACTAGTCTATGTAATCCATTGTATCGTAAATTATAGCATTAAGACACTGCACTAATATTTGTAAGACAATAAAATTGTTTCAAAATGTCAATAATAGCTAGAATATCTCACAAGGACATCGGGAATTACTACTTGTTTATATATATTTTACTAGCGAACCCGACAGATGTTACTAGGCCAACACTTCTTTAATTAATTAGTAATATTAACTTTAAAAAATTACAACCACATTGTTCCGTTGTATCGCGCAATCCGGACATAAAACGACCACTCTTTAAGCCTAGACTTGTTTAAGCTGTCGCGGAATATGCTTAAAAGGAGTATTAAGAATATCCATAGCGCTTAATAACCTGCATCATGAGCACACCCCCCCAAACACTTCACGTAGATACCCACCACCACCACTTTCACACCAAGAACTGGGAATAAGAGATCACTTAGTAAAATGTTTTGAATAATTTTTATTGATATAACTTATATTACATATTATATATTCTATATTTGGCTTTCTCTTAAGTATAATATTGTTTTGTTATATATAATTTATATTAGCTGAAGGATTACGAAATAAATAAAAATATAAAAATAAATGTAGGCTTTAGATTTTTTTTAAATATTTTTTTGTTAACCGGACGTAAAAGTAGTTTAAATTACATTAATTCCTCTAAATTGTATTAACGAAAATGAAATTGCAATATTTAATTACCACATCATTAAGGTGTGTACACACCGTACTAAAATAATTCTGCCTGCACACTTTGGCAAGATTTTGGGAAAGTACAAAATATTTTATCTAGACCAATTTGGTATTGAGGTGTCAAGTAATACAGCTCAGTATATATTATATTTACTGGATCAGGATATGACGTCATCACTGATTATATAGCCGCAAATAGTATTTAGGTAGATGTCGCTACAATGCCATAGACAATCATAGATATTTTAGATATCGTAATATACAAAAACGGTGTTGGCCGAGTGGCTTCATCGAACGCTCATCTCTCTCCCCTGAGGTTGTAGGTTCCATCCCCGGCTGTGCACGAAAGGACTTTCTTTCAAAGTACACGTTTAACATTCGCTCGAACGGTTGGCGAACGTTGCTTTGGACCCAAATCGACTGTGTGTGTCAGACACAGGAGGCTGATCTCCTACTTGCCTATTACATTGACATTATCATGAAACAGATACAAATATCTAAGGCCCAGACCTAAAAAGGTTGTAGCGCCACTGGTTTATTTAATTTTAATATAAATATGTTTTTACTTTTTATGACATTTGGATGTCACTATTTTAGTAAAGAGACTATATGACGCACACGCAAAATGTAAAATAGCAATATTTCGTCGTTCTCAAGTTAAATTAAAAAAAAATTGAAAATCCAACATTTATACAGATTTAGATCTTAATCGATAGTAAATAGAATATTATTCGCCAGCGTATAAGCGCCCTTATGTCTGAGTGCTAATAATGAGAGGAGTTCGGCGTTTGATCTCATTTATGTATGAATTTTAGCCGCGTTATGAAAGTGTGAGTAAGCGCTACAGACCTAAACATGATAGATGCTCTTTTGTTTTATTTTTTTACTCTTTCAAATGGGAACATTCCTTTTTCAAAATTTCGGTAGGTGTCTGATGTCTATTCGTCCTTAATAAATAAATACAAAATGATGGGACATTTATAAAAATAAATCTTCCCTAAAAACCCTAAAAACTTTCCATACGTTAAATTAAGATAAAAACCTCATTCAATTCAATTCAATTCAAAAATCATTTATTCACGTAGGTAACACAATGTAAACTTGTGATTCGTCATTAAAGAAATACATATTAATGCTTCTAATTTTACATTTACTGCCAGTTCACAAATCAAGGGCGTAGAACGGAAGAGAAGAACTGGCAATAAACTCTCCGCCACTCTTTTTAATCGCCATGTTTTTTTTACACAACGTTTGTAAGGAGCTGCACCCATTACACCATGTTGCACATGACATCTTAAGTAATTAATAATAATAACATAAATTAAAAACAAAGACTTGTCCTCTATCAGCAGGAGGTATGGTGAAATAGGAGCACGCACTTACATTCTCGTGGGAACAACACGCAAACACATAGTCGAAATAATTAACATCACCGCATTGAAATGTATATAACAATATTTATACGAAGAATAGTAACAAAACATAAAAAATGTCTTTCCTGTATGAAGTACAAAAAACTTTGCTTTAAATGCCTATAAATATAATAATTCAATCTCTTAGTTTTTCGAACAGACATTATAGTTTTATATAAAATTCTCGTGTCACAGTTTTCGTTGCCATACTCCTCCGAAACGGCTTGACCGATTCTCATGAAATTTTGTGTGCATATTGGGTATGTCTGAGAATCGGACAACTTCTATTTTTCATCCCCCTAAATGTTAAGGGTACCCCTAAATATTTTTTTTAATTTTTAGATTTTTTTTCTGTTTTTATTTTTTTATGATACAACATTAAAAAATACATACAAACCCCTAACTTTCACCCCTCTACGATCAACCCATATTTTTTTATTATAAATGATATATATGGCAAAACGACGTTTGCCCGGTCAGCTAGTAGTTTTATATTCTTAACCTAAATTGTTCGAACATATTTAAAAAGTTTCGCCCCTGTGCCAATCTACCTTTTTTCCATTAAAGGATGCTGTACATCCAGTCTACAATTAGCGTAACTCTGTACCAAGTCCGCTCCACTTGTTCAATGGTCGGGTGCATCTCGTTATCTCATATTACCTAACCGCTCTCGGACTAAAGTACGAACACTTCGAACCTAGGACTATAAAATTAAATCAGTTTCAATTTACTCCTAATAGTATAAAACAAATATAATCATATAATTGCCAAAGTATAAATATATACATAATATAATATAAATTTTTCTTCATACGGTAATTTATTTAAAAAATATCACCAAATGAAATGTTTCTTTGCTTGCTTTTTAAATCTTTAATTCATAAAAAAATAACTCGTTTCTTTAGAATCAAAAGGAAGGTATGCCTAGGTTTTTCTTTAAAGAATATAAATGTACGTTTCGGTCATCGGGCTCCTTTGAATTATAGAAGATTCTATTTTTACTCTATCATTTGCGTACAACAAGAATATAAGCGAAATACTGAACTGTTAATTGCTATGTAACGATTGAATGCAATATAACAGTTGAATAGAGTGCCTACATCTGGCTATACTCTCGGGGCGTAACACCGTCGATTTTGAAAATCGCCACTCTTATAAAACTAAGAAAGCCTGAGTGGCCAAATGTACAGCTTTAGCTTACAATCATAATATATAGGAAATAAAATAGAGCATTATTGGCCTAGTGCTCTCACCCGTAGGGTTGTAGGTATAATCCCCGGCTGAATTTTATGTCGTATTATCGTAAGAAAACGATCAGAAATGACAGTTGACGGTGTAGATAAGAGTCGACGGTGTGTGTCAGGCACACACTTGTCTATTAGGAAATTATCACGAAACATATACAGAAATCTAAAGCCAGACTTTTAAGTTCATACCGCACTGGTATAAAGAATAAAAATTATAATAACAAATAACTTTAACTTTAGCTTTGTATACGAAATTAAAAAGTCTACAGTCACTGTGGTTACTGAATCAACAAAACTCGTGCGACTTCATAACAGTGGCTATATAAAATAAGTTCGGCTCAAAATTAAGTAAGATATTTTTTTGCCTTCACCTAATCAAGTACTCAACAATGAAATTGGTTAGTAAAAATTTAAGTAAAAACAAATATATAACCAAGAATTAATTGGTAATATACAGTATTTATTTTTAACCTTATAATAATTATTAAAAATGGATAAATAGAAAATTAAAACAAATTTAAAAATTTAGTCCGTGTGGTAGTGATGTATTAAATATTCTGTTAAATGTTTTTTTCCAGTTCACATCAATTACAGCCATCATTGCTGCAACAGCAGCAACCCAAGTCTACCAACCGGAGCAATACAACAGCGATGTCTACCAATCGCAGCCCGCATTGGAGCACGGCGTCTACACTGACCAATCACAGCTGAACCACATATACCAGAGGCCAGCTGGAGAGAAAATAGCGAGGATTATCAACTATCACTCGGAAAATAACGGCCATAATTATCATTATGCGTATGAAACTGAAAATGGTAAGCTTCTTATTAATTTACGATAGTATTCTACTTTTCAATATATACTGAGACACAATCAATACGAAGACGTTATACCCTGAACTGTGCTATCGAAGTTATTACCCCGACACACACTAACGGATCCGGACGATCCAATTACCGTAGCTAACAATAAATTAAAAGCCGCCCGCGCAGCCAATAATAATAATAGCCAAAAACAGATTAGGGTAAAAAACCGCCCGGAAGGCGAGGACCTTTACTTCGTACTTCGCTCACTCCAGTGAGCTTCCGTCCTGCCCTTCAGGCGATTGACCACCCCGCGACGGCCCAAGCCGAGGTTCGAGTCTCACAGGAGACGCCCTTGCGCTAGTCGTGGGAAAAACGTTCAGGCCGAGCTACGCTCGCCAAAACAGCCCGTGCTGAGCTGTAAAGGACCTTAAAATTCCATTAAAAAAAACCAGGAGAGATTCCATTCAAAAAAAAAACAAGTTATTAGCCGCTCAGGGTATATACAACTGATCGATCTTAGTTTGAGTATCCCGCGGAGTCCCAAGCCGAGGTCCGAGTCTCGCAGGAGACGCCCTTTCGCTAATCGCGGGTTAAACCCATTCCGGTCGAGCTACGCTCTCAGAAACAGCCCGAGCTAAGCTGTCAAGGCCCTTCAGGCCAACAGCGCGAGATGCCTTAAAAATAGCCTCTGAGGCCTTCAGTCCAGTCAGTGATCAGACTAGTCAAGGATCCTCGGAGGTCGAAGCTGCTCCATTCTTCCTCCGCAAAACAAGTAATCATAACATGTTTGTTGCGTAAAGCACGCAATGTATAACAATTTATTATGACAATAAACACGTGTGTGTACTTATGTACACGCGTTTGAAGTTATACTTCTTTGGCGCAACAAGATAAAAATGTTATTCTTAGTTTGTAGAAAAAGCGACATTAACAATAGAAAAAACTAAAATGTTGACAATAGCTAACTTCAGGGTGTCGGTTTTTTGTGATGATGTAGGCGCGCATCGTAAAGTTTACTCTCATCATTTTATCCTAACATGCCAAAAGAAGTACCTATAACTTCAAAAAGGTGCCATTACTGACACATTGTAAAGCCTGATGCTCGAAAATGCTTTAATTTTTTAATATTAATAATGTGTAACAAAATATTCGAAATATCAGCGACTCTGTAAACTAGAATTAAATTAAACTAATGAATTCCAGGTATTAAAGCTCAAGAGGTCGGCCAAGTTACAAAAGGAACTCAGGCGGAAGGCGCGTTCTCCTACACTGGAGACGATGGACTGACATACACGGTGACGTACACCGCTGATGAAAATGGGTTCCGACCGCAGGGAGCCCATCTGCCTACTCCACCACCCATTCCCGAAGCTATCCTGAAGTCTTTGGAGCAGAATGCTAAGGACGAAGCCAATGGCATTGTTGATGATGGTACAGTATCACGTTTGTTTCTTGACTACAGCTGAAACTATTCACTGTCCAGTGAAACATAGACAATTTTTTTCATCAAAAATTAAACGCCTGTTACAAAATTGGGCCTAATTTTTCAAAATAAAAACTTGCTCTATATAAAAATAAAGCTGCTTATATGTTTCTTCATAAAAATTGCGCTGAAATTGGTATTTGTCACAGAATTAAATAAAATATGGCAAGCCTAACGAGTAGTGTTAGCCTAGCTTCAGCGTGCGAGTCTCATACTTTAGGTCGTTGGTTCGATACCCGGCTGTGCACCAATGGACTTTCTTTCTATGTGCGCATTTAACATTTGCTCGAACGGTGACGGAAAACATCGTGAGGAAACCGACATGTCTTACACCCAAAAAGTCAACGGCGTGTGTCGGGCACTGGAGGCTGATCACCTACTTGCCCATTAGATTTAAAAATGATCATGAAACAGATTCAGAAATCTGAGGCCAAGACCTAAAGAGGTTGTAGCGCCACTGATTTCTTTTATGGCAAACTTATCGCATTATTTTAAGTTATTTATAAAAATCGTATTTTATATTCCATATATGATAAACTAGCGGCCCGCATATCAACAACGTATCTAACATATATTTTTAACATTTTAGCAATAAACGTACACTAAATGCGGACATACCTAAATAATAATGTATTTAGCAATAGTGTACGGCTCCCTTTGTGTACGGAACTTGATGAAAACAAAATGATAACAGAATAAATGATATCAACAAGTAATTTTTAAAAACATCTCACTGTGGTTTAGAATATACATCCTTATTTTTTTGCTTGCAATTAAAGTAGCCTATATTAATCAGTGATTAATATAGGATATATATAGAAATAAAAGTATACGCTCAGAAGTACAAGACTAGGCTGGGAAATCATCCTAACCACCTAGCTGTTCAACTCACCCTACCGGAGTATATAAACCGTCTCCAAGGACGAAGAACCCTGGAGCTCAACAGCATTGACTGAGTTAATATTATTATAGTAGACATTTCTAATGAGGATCTCCACCCGCAAATCATCCTACAACTCATCTGCTCATAGTCAGAAGACTGATTGCACGATGAGCTCTTATAAAAAAAAAACATCAGTCATAATGTAGCATTCAAATGTTGAGAGAATTTTTTAAATCGGTCCAGTACTTTTTGAGCCAATTCGTTACAATATAGTTTCATACAAATCTTTCCTCTTTATAATATTAGTATAGATGAAATTGTGGCGTACAGTATCATAATTGAGAACCAAGAGCCTTATTAACCATTTTAATTCTATGCTAGCAATAGATAAGAATAATCCTCCATACTTTTCATAAGCAGTGACTTCAGCGTACTAAAAATCTCAAAACTTTAAATGGCTTTTCCCATGTATTAACTGAACATAATTTAGATGTAACACAATTTGTTTCACACAACGAATTCCGAATAATCGTTATACATATCCTTGAGAACTGTAGTTAAAATAAACGATTCGTTAAATTGTTTTACAGTTTAATTCGTACGAAATGTAAATTTTGAGTAATTTCTTTTATTACAAAGTTTAAGCATTGCGTAAAGTTTTATTATTTTTGACTACGACAACAATTCCGTGACTGTATCAATGAAAACACTTTAACTTCAATGTAATTAATACCACAGCCATATACATTTATGTTGTATTTGGCTAGGAATTCCTTTTTTTTATAGAAAAACATTTAAAAGTCGTAAATAGAATTTTTATTGAGTCAAAAAGCTGAAAAAGGAATTGCTAGCAACATATTTTATGGAATGTTTTTTGTATAAAATATTGGCGTAAACTTAAAATGTTTTTTCTAGGTCATTACCGTGAAGAGCATTCAAACAACCTAGGACACGGCAACCAGGGATATTACGACGGTTACCAACAAGAGTATGCGCAAGCGCAGGTAAACGAAGGCTACCATTGATAAGTTATTGTTATTTATTGTTATCTTGTTGATTTTGTATTAAATGTTATTTTAAATTAAATTCTGTTTCAATTACTCGAAATTTTTAAACGACCCCGTTTATTTCCTATTTCCTAAGTGTCCTAAAAATGTCAAAGGCCGGCAACGCGCTCACGATCCCTCTGAAATTGAGAGCCTCCTGCCCGTTTGCCTGTTCCATAAAAAATAATATATGTATATAGTATATAAGTTCTATATTTTTTTTTATTTTTGGTTTTTAAAAATTTGCGTATTTCATAATTGTCCTAAGTACTTTTTTCAATATTCAAACTCGAAATTAAGTGTCTTAGAAAGGGTGCTTAAGGCTAACAAAGACATTGATTACGAATCCATCATCCCACTTATTGTAATAGATATGCACACACATTCCTAAGCGTCTTCAATCTGATTTATCCACTTAGAACGTTGATTTTTTTTATTTGTTTTGTCAAAATTTTAATTTTCTATTTCGTTCGTCATTTATAGCATTTAGCTTGGTGATTCTGAGTTGGAGGTAACAATACAAAAGGGTTCTTACGGTTACAGAAAGCTAATTAATTTTATAGATTGATGATGAAATTATCAATGTAGCTTATCCGTATCTCATTGGTTGGCATGTTTAAGGAATACCAGCCGTTAGCCTACGTAATATTTAATATTCATTAATTCCTTGAAAAATTCATCCATCGTAAGAAAATACACTTAAAATTTTATACAAAAAAAATATATTTTTTCATGGACCTCTTATAGAGTATAAGCCTCCTTCAACTGGCTCCATCTCTCTCTATCTTAAGCATTTTTTTCTTATCTTCCACCAACTTCTTTAAGCTTATCAGCCCACCGTGCAAGAGGGCGACCTCTCTTTCTTTTCTCTGGCGGCCCTTTAACCCTTGCTACCCTATTTGTACTTCTGCTATTGTTCATGCCAGCGGCGGCCCCATGTAAGTTTTTTTAATGGGATAATCAATCATTTCTGTTTTCTTTCTAATTTCTTAGTTAGCCTACGTACTTAATAGTTGTTGAATGTTTGGTCTCCCTCTTCGAACAGCAAATATCTTCTTCAACTAAGTAACAAGGATATGAAAGGGAAGGTGGTTAGTATATAAAACAGATGAATGAGTAGCGGCTTACAAGTAAATACAAGGCAACGGTGGACGGCGAAGTCGGCTTGAGTAGGCCTTGCACAACTAGAGGAGGGATGAAAGTGGATAAAGCGAGACCGGTATGTCAGAGCCGTAGCAAGTAGAAATCCGTGGTCTCTGCCTACTCTATCGGAGAAAAGGCGTGTATATATAAATACATGAAATCTTAGATATAAATATGTACCTACTCGTAACTTGACATGTTGCTAGAAGAATATTAATTACACACAAAGAAAAATCGATCGGTGCACAGACGATTTCAGGGATATTTTTTACACTTAATCCTATATTGTTATTAGACCAAGTGCTTAGAACCAAGTGGAATCCACGATAAACGCAGAGTCAAGGACAATAGAATCGAGAGGAAATTATCCCACATTGCTTGCTTAGAATACACCCATTGAGTCATGAATTGCTATTTAAAGTTCAAATTCTAAAAAGACTAGACGCTGTTATGTTTATTCTTTAAATGCAAGATGAGCAAGCACTACGCGTATACATTTTCACTAACTTTAATATAGCTTAGTTTCGTCAATGCAAAAGCTTTGAACGGCTTGAACATCGTTTTTCATGCAATTTGTCTAGAAGAATTCTATTTGAACGATGCACGTATAGGTGAAAATCCGGCAAAGAACGCTTTTTAACTTTTCCACATAAAAATCTGTCGTTTCTTAAAAACGTGCGTGCGTATAAAGTACACAATATGTCAGAAGTGAAACTTCTTTGGCAAACTAATTTTTAAGTCTTGTTGTTAATCTTTAAGTCTGTTCGGAAATCTAATTTAAAACTTTAGATTTCCGAAACATAGAGGGAGGGAAAAAGGAAGATATGATAGGAATTTAATTGTCTTTAAAATATTAAAAGTGTCGAAAATAAATACAAATTATAAATTTAATTTTTTTAATTTATTTCTTCGATAATAAAAACCCGTGGCATTTTAATTTACAATTCGTTATTTGAGATTTCAATAAATTATTTTGCATAAAATATAAAATACTAATATTTCATAAATTCTCTTAACGAAATTTTTATTTCAAAAATAGAATTTCTATAGAGTAAGTTATATAGAATAGATCAAGGTATGTTCTCGTTTCATGACCTTCAAAAAACACAATATACGAAGCAAACATTTTTTTATCTCAAATATGCCAAAGCACTTTGATAATAGAGATTTAACTTAATGATATGTATTATGTCAAGGAGAGTATGAAAAAACCTATATTGTATGATGAATTGAGAATGAGGACATTAGTTATGCTATTAATACGTTAATACATACATAATGTCAAAGATATTATATCTTAAGGCACGGATAGAGTGTAGCTGATTTAACTGTTTGGATTATAATTAACCACCACTGTGTGAAACCAGCTACCAACTGAAGTATTTTGGAAGCAATTCAACGTCAAAATTCATATGGTCCTTCAAGAAAAGAGCGTAACACTTCTTAAAATGTATCTATTCCTATTCCTTTTTTTATTCTTACCATATTTTTTTGTTATTTTTCTTTTTTGATTATAATTATTTTGTGTGTTGCATTAGTAATAAATGTTATGTCTATGTCTTAAAAGGCCGGCAACGCACTCGCGAGCCTTCTGGCATGGAGTGTCCACTGTCCATGTCATGTATCAATTAACATCGGATGAGCCTACTGCCCGTTTTCCTCCTATTACATAAAAAAAATAACTAAAGATTGCGAAGCATTAATAAAAGGTGTTTCATCCTTCAGGGCGTGCCAACTGTTAAAGGGCCGGCAACGCACTCGCAAGCCTCCTGGCATTGAGTGTCCATGTCATGTATCATTTAACAAGAGGTGAGCCTCCTGTCCCTTTTGTCCCCTGTTCTATAAAAAAAAGACTCAACGTAACGGAATAATGTTCAGGTTTTTTACTAATTTGAGCTATACGGAAGTCATGTTATAAATTATTTTTCATTCTAAAACTCATATTTTTATTAAATCTTATAATTAACTAGTGGACCCCACAGACGTTGTCCTGCATGATATTTAAAGCGATTAGGATATTAAGCAAAGTATGAAAGTACCGACTGCAGTGCCATCTGCCGGGCTGATTTGTGAATCTAAACCATTCCCAGATCCCCTTGAACACACACAAAAAATTTCATCAAAATCGGTCCAGTCGTTTGAGAGGAGTTCTGTCACATACACACGCACAGAAGAAATATGTATATAATATTAAGATAGGAAAATGTAACAACGGATAAAGGTCTACAGTCAAGGCCTTTTAGTGTCGTCCATCTTTATGTATCCGGGAGTCATGTATAGGGAACTATAAATACCTAAGTGATTATCATAACTTAGAACATCTGAGCTATTTGTTCATTTATTGACAACTATAATAATTATAGAGCCTCTGTGTATTTTATTCTATATATCATTTGTTTACTTCATAAATATTAAAAGTTAATATTTACATAATAAATTTATAAGTTAAAAGTGTCCTAAAATATTTCGAATTTGTATGATATGTTTCTAGTAGAACGGGTAGAATGTTAACCCGAATAAGGTTAACGTTCTACCCGTCTCTGAAGTGATATTGTCTACCCATTTTCTTGGCTGCTTATCAAACTGATATCTGCCTTGCGATTCTGTTACTCACCCTTCAAACTCATACAGCGGTTTTCGCAGGAGGAGATAAGGAGGGAGCTTGTAGTTTATTGTTTATCAGAATGCCAAATCGTAAAGTGACTGCTTTACGACTGATTTGAGCGCCACCGCCTCTGTGAAAACCGCTGTGTGAGTTTGAAAAGTGAGTTACATAATCGCAAGGCTGATCATATGGCCCTTTCATGTGAATTCACGGCTATACTAAGAAGCTTGCATAAATTATGAAATACGTCTCTTTTCGACTTCATTAGATTGCTTACAGCCATTAATCAAAATAACGTTTGTATTAATTGGTTATACATATTAAAAAAAATATATAGTTTTAGATATGTATTGTACCTACCGGCGAACCTAGAATTGGCTCCATTCTGGTATGTTTCATGTTACTTAGGCTCACGTTCTACCTGGTTCTGTCGTTATCTACCCATCTTCATCAATATCCCAACAAGTAAAACTCGACGAAGTAATTTTGATGTTTAATAATAATTGCAGTTAGAGGGCCTCATAGCCTAGCGGTCTTATTAAATGGCTGCTAGGTGAGGGGCACCGGGTACGAATCCCGGTTCGAGGGCAAGTTTTAATTTAATTTAAATTTGATCTCGGCCTTTGGGAGGGTTGTGCGGTACCGGGCGAGTGCTTAAACCGTACATGGAGGACACGGTCGAATTTCTAAGGCAAGCACGAATTATAAAAATCTTATACTTGACGCTGGCTAATGCACAAACCGTGCCAGAGCCATACAAAAAATGCAGTTATTAATAATCTTTGTTTTTAAAATAAGGTGTTTTTAAACATGCCTTGAAGCAAATCATGTCAAAAGTATAAATAAAGAATAGTGTAGAAATAGTACAAAGTTTAGAAATGACAATTATTTAGAGAATCCTGTCGTGAGAAATGTTAATAGGCTTATAAGACGTTATTTAAACTAGCTATTTAGCGTTTTAAACAAACAGTAACTTAAGGTGAGAATATAATCATATCGTAATTCGACCTTCACTCCATAACAATGCAGAGATCATGTTCACGACTGCAATGCTGCATTACTATAAAGGTTGTCCGAATGTTTTAGAAAAATAACGCATGCGCCTAAAGCGGTATTAGATTTGTGGGTAGGCCCGCAACACTCAAACCTGACACCGTACATTCTGATTTCTGTAAAGTAATATTTTTCCCCAGATTTGGTAATAACCGGTTACTAGGGCGAAATAATATGG